AGATAATTTTATCTTCTTCACAACTCTTCGATCTACTTCCAATTCTTCCACTGATCACAGACCATCGCTTTTTGACTCGATTCATCGCTGCCGCTGATGCTGTCCACTACATTATCGTCAATTATATACAGAATGATTCAAAAGGTTAGGTCCAAACTAAAGGAGCGTATAGAGGGACTCAGAAAGAACAACTTTCGAATAGGAATCCATGTATTCAGAATTTATACTGAGTAAGTCGAGGCCGAAGCGTGATATAGCGTGAAAAAGCGTGACTAAGCGTGACCTGCAGTCACATCGTGACAAGGGAACAACAAATATGTCGAAACGTGACAAAGGTTTACAAAGCGTGACCAAACGTGACTAAGCGTGACTAGGCGTAATCTGATATAAAGGCGTGACGAGAAGTCACCATAAGTTTTAAAATTCGACGAAGATTTCAAAAGAGTGTTTAAGCGTGACAACACGTGCTCAAGCGTGACTAGACGTGACTAGGCGTGACTAGGCGTGACGTATTGTAAAGGCGTGACGAATTGTGGCCTTAAGTGTCAAAACGTCAAAACAATTAACAAAACCTAACGTACGATAATCCACTAAACAACCTAACCTAACCTAACCTAACCCAACCAAACCTAACCTAACCTAACCCATCCTAACCTAACATAACCTAACCCAACCCAACCTTTCCTAACATAGCCTAACCTATCGTATCTTCATCTGACGTATTGCAAAGTAGCAAAAATTAACCGAGCCGTAAGTAACATAACGTAAGTGTGTCGAAATATGACTTAGTGACCACGCGTGCCGAAGCGTGATATAGAGTGACAAAGCGTGGCCAAATGTGACAAAGCGTGACAAGGCGTGATCTTCTATAAAGGCGTGAAGAGAAGTCACCATAAGTTTTAAAATTCAACGAAGATTTCAAAAGCGTGTCTAAGCGTGACTACGCGTGCTCAAATGTGACTAGGCGTGACGTACTGTAAGGGCGTGGCAAATTGTGGCCATAAGTGTAAAAACGTCACAATTACTAAAAAGTTACCTAAAGTAAGAAACCTAATGTAACCCAACCTAACCCAACCAAAGCAAACCTAACCTAACCTAACCTAACCCAACCTAACCTAATCTAACACAACCTAACCTAACCTAACCCAACCTAACCTTACATAAACCAACCTAACCTAACCTAAAATAACCAACCTAATCTAACCTAACCAACCTAACCTAATCTAATACAACCTAACCTAACCTAACCCAACCTAACCTAACCTAACGCAACGTGAGATAGATGGCTGGAGGCCTTGCAACATCACTGGTTAGGAATGTAGTGAATCGACGCCCTGCTTCGCGACGCCGAACATCACCACGCCCTCGGGAGACGCCAAAATAACCGCGGACTAGTCTCCTGATGACACTGGAGACATACCAGAAACCCGACGCCGAGCGTCGCGACGCCTGCCATTTGGACGCCACCGAAATAACGCAGGAAAGATTCTCAGACACTTAGAATACCATTCGGGGCGACTTTAGAAAATCGACGCCCGGCGTCGCGACGCCTCCAAATAACTGAAAATTGACGCACAGAAGTTCCAAGATGCCATTGAATACTCAATTACAAAACCGACGCCGAGCGTCGCGACGCCCAGTGATGTCATCAAAAGACCGCAGAAGACGCATATAACGATGATGTGACGTTCGGAATAATACTCCACACTCGACGCTAAGGCAGCGAGTCTTTCGTAGGACGAAATTTTACCAAAGACGGCGCCCCAACCTAACCAAACCTAACCTAACCCAACCTAACCTAATCTAACACAACCTAACCTAACCTAAACCAACCTAACCTAACCAACCTAACCTAAACTAACCTAACCTAACCCAACTTATGAAGTTCCCTATCGTGTAATTTCTTGCAGTCATTTGATATTTCAGCTTTAACGGATGCAAATGTATTGCTCATAATTTCTCTAATTGAATTTATAACCAGAATAGACATTTTTATCAAGATTTTAGGTTCCTAAGGTGGTGAAGGTGTCTACTGTGGTCTTGTGAAGACAACAGGGCGTCACATCCCAAAAGGCCACAATCGACCAACTTATTGTATTATTCGATTCTTTACATCATCCGTTCAATGTTTTGTTTTGTACCGACTTCCATGATGAATTGTAAACAATTTCATTTCTTGGGTACCACAAGTTGTTACCTAATATGTTAATAGATGACAGAACACATTTATTTCTTCTCACAATATCACTCATCGATATGAAGTAAAAAAGAACCGGTTTAAAAACGCTATATCTCGTCCGTAACAGTTAACGTATCAAGTCAAAATTCTATTTTATCTCTTCAGTATCTGGGAGGAAGGTCTATTTCTGGGAAAATAGGTCATTAACACAATCTAGTTTCAAATCAACGGTAAACGCACTGCTGATGCACGAGAGTTAAAAACACATTCCGAACGAGGTGAGGCAAGATGCAGAAATATTTGTCTTGTGGTCAGGGAAAGTTAACAGTGTCGAAGTACATCCTCCTATGATCGGACGGACCTTGTGATGGGATTTGTGGCGGTACCAATTTGTGTCGCTCTCATTTCGACCCTCCTTCACTTATCAGCATCCAAAAGTTCGCCACCACACATCGTCTTCATCCTGGCCGACGACCTTGTAAGTTCATTTTTATGAAATCTGACTTAAACAAGGCTCCAGAAGTAAGCTCGTTTGCCTTTAACACGTATAGTTCTAGTCTACATATTAAAATTTAATAAATTATTCATATAGGGTTTGAGACTTTCGTGGCGAGTACAATCAATATAATGTTCTCGGGCAATCAGCCGCGTCAACTGCTTACCGTATTAAACCGACGTTTCGGGAACCAACTCTGTCCTCTTCATCAGGGTCCTGTCAACAGGCGACTTCAGAGGTATCCAGTCACATCAGAACCCTGATGATGGTGACAGAGTTGGTCCCCGAAACGTCGGTTTATTATGGTAACCAGTTGACGCGGCTGATAACCCGAGAATATTTTATTGATATTATCCATAAATTGTGAGTTACAGGAAGACAATAAATTGGGAATTACACCTTATTTCTCAAACATTTATCACATAAGGATCGATATTTATTTAGACCTATCTACTACATAAATATTTTTATAAAACATACTCAGAAATCATGAAATCATCATACTCACAGTATGGAAAATCAAATCGTAATCAAGAAAAGTTGCTTATAAAGAAACGAAAATACGGCGACTAATATATACGTCAATGGTATTGCTCAGCCTTGAAGATGGAGACAGTATGTTACTCTGAAACGGTGGTATCTATTAACAAGTTTTCACGAGTCAACCCAGAACAACATCGACATCTTCAGAGCCGTGAGACTTCGAATCTCACATGTACGAGGCATTATTTTAAATACACTGATAATTAGAAAAATCCACAACTACAATTCGTAATCTGTGGTGTTATTTTTTCGAAGAGCAGTATCAAACCTCAGTTTATTCAATATAAGCCTCTTACTTTTTCTTTAAAGAAAACTTAGTAGAGAAACGACATTGATACTTTTGTACCAGTGTCAAATAACAAGATCAAAAGTGCACATAAATGGTCATACGAAGTAGAAACAAACTTTCGAATGAAATACCGCTGCAGAGTGCTTGATAAAAACGTAGTTCATTGAATGTTCAGAGAAATGTCTGCGAAAACTGTTATGTTACCTTGTGCAAGTACCCATTGTCTCATAGAATAAAGCAAAGTGAGTAACAGTCCACACTGAATTTACAGTTAGATGAATCAACTGATGCTACCAATCTGTTTTGTTAGCGAATGCACTCTGCTTGAGCGAAGATAAAATTTAAGAAGAAATTCTGTTTTTCCTCCAATTCAAATGAAATACAATAGGAAGAGATATTTTCAATCTGACTGATGCATATTTTAATGACACTGTAATAAGAGAAAAGATTATGTCATAAATAATCTCACAATTAAGAAAGTTTAGACATTTTAAAATTCGTATGTTATTCTAAGATTCTACCAGGCACCCCAAAATACTTCAGAGGGCAATCAATGAACACGCGGTCTGCCCGTGAGAACTGTATGTTCGCACCTGCTCAACTTTTGTGCAACAGATATGAACAGCGGAATGATAATCAGGGTGACTTTCACTCGGTTGTCACGGTGGAGGTCACGATGATGTTTTATTTGCTTCCGAATTCATTTTTATACCTCAGTACGAGATTTTTGTTGCGTTGCGTTTTAAATGGTGCACAATTGCTTGCTGAGTAATGACGAAACTGTTTCAAAAATTAATGTTTATCTCTCGCTGGCAGGGATGGAACGACGTGAGTTTCCACGGGTCGGATCAGATTCCGACGCCCAACATTGACGCCTTGGCTTACAATGGCGTTATCCTCAACAGCCACTACTCACTGCCACTCTGCACGCCGTCAAGGGCTGGGCTTCTCACGGGAAAGTACCCCATACACAACGGTACAGTCGCTTTCTCCCTCCCTTTACATCCGATCAGACTCCGTAGAAATCTTCCGAATGTTGGGCTTATTCCTGTATCACTGGATTATAATTGTGTCTGTCCTGACGCGAATGTTTTATGGAGTCTGCTGTAGTCGATTCTCTTGTGTTGAGTATCCATTTTAGACAACTCATTTTATGATAAAATTGTACCCGTGTGAAGATAACTGCGTCATGTAGTCTGGTAGAACGCTATTGCCCTGATTATGGAGACAGCAAGAACCTCTGAAACGTCAGTACGATTCTTCCATACCACACGGTGCTACAACCCGGAAGACAGCCACTCTCAGACTCACCGCTGTGTAAACCTCGAATCCTATTCATTACAGTTTTCATACGAGACCACCAACGGACCATAATCTGAGGCAAATTATTTCAGTAAACACATTTACGCTGTTTCTGTGCCTTCATTTTTAATATTACCTTCCTGCTTTCTGGTAGGTATCTCAGATGTTCTCTTCCAGAGGTTTCCAATCAAAATCTTTCATGCATTTTTCTTCTCAATGCATGCTACGTGCCCTGTCCACATCACCGTCTTTGGTTTTATCACAATACATTAAGACACGCTGTTACATTTAAATAATAAAATATCTTCTGTGTCCATGTTGCGTAATTACAGTAAGACCATGTTATGTAAGGCAGGCATGCAGCAGAACCTAATCCTGGAGCCGGAACCCTGGGGTCTGCCCCTTTCGGAGATCCTGTTGCCCCAGTATCTGTCGGGTCTCGGCTACAAGAGTCACGCAGTGGGAAAGTGGCACCTGGGGTTCTACAAGAAGGCCTACACGCCTACAGCCCGTGGATTTTCCTCTCACTTCGGCTTCTGGAACGGATACCAGGACTACTACTCGCACACGGTACAGGCATCGGTAAGGTCACGGCAATTATCACTTAGTCCTTTCTGTGGAACAAACGCAATGTCATGTTCACTTGAACTCTGGACACATTTCATGTGTGATAACACAGTGCGAGAAAAATGTATTTTTATAGTAAAATATGCAACGAAGGGGCTTTTTGGGAGACACAGGATCCATAAACATAGAGGTATTTAAGTAAGATTTTCGGTCTCGCGTTTCAGAAATCCTTGCTTCCTCTATCATCAGGGCGATGAGACATGTCCTGATGATGGAGGCAGCGTTGGTAAACTTATGCCAGACTACATTGCCAGTCATCGTCGAGGAATTCAACTATCTGAGCGACTATTACCTTCTCAAGGATTCTGCTGTTTCTAGTTAGTGAAACGGGGTCTTCTGGTTTATGATAAAGTCCAGTGACGGGTTCTTGTGAACACGGGAACAAACCTTCGGTTTCCGTAAAGGCTGAGGAATTTCTTGACTGCATTTTACCCTTGCGACTTTTAGCGCTGTGTTGCTGAAGAGAACTCTGATCCATTCAGTTACTGACAGCTGGCGCATGAATCCTCTTACAGTTTCTTCCGTACGAAGGATATGACATGCGGCGCGACCTCGAGGTGGCACAAGACGCAAGGGGTCACTATTCCACTGACCTCTTCACAGACGAAGCCGTGTCAATCATCAACCGACACGATCCTACAAACAGCTCACTGTTCCTCTACTTAGCTCACCTGGCACCACACGCGG